ATAAGTTCTGGTGCCTCCCTGATCACTCAACAACACATGATGCAAAGTTGACATCGTTAACCAACTGACTAAAAAACAGCCAATCACAGGGAAACCATGACAAGCCTGGTCACAAATGACTTTACCAAAGCTTTCGACCGTTTATATTAGACGACCTAATTTCAAGCACGCGTCTTCTAGCCTCAGATCTCTGACTGCTCCTTCCTTACCGTCACGTCCTGAATTTCTCCATATACTACCCGGTACCCACACCCGGCGGGTACTGGGTCAGGCTTGACCTTTCCATGCATCAATCATCTGTCGAAATCACCGCCCACCCACTATACAACCAAACCATTACGGCAAATAGGTACAAACCCACAACTCAGCCGCCCAAAACAAAACTTGAAGCAACACTAAAAGACGACATGATACTGGACACGCCGACGATTCTCCCATTCAACTGCAGCCAAAAAGCCACGCTTACAGGCTTGAAAAAGAGTTGTTAAATAATAGATGCTCCTATTGAAAGGATGGATTATGAGGAAAATAGCTGCAGTAATTGACTATAATCCACATAAAACCACCTTACTACAGAGGTGGTGACCATTGAGCTACCATAAATACCAAAAAATCAACAGTATTTCAAGCGAATTCCATTGAGGAAGAGGTCCTTTTGTAGGTTTTGTTGTCTTCTAGATCATACCTTTACATCGTGGATCATATTCCAATTATAGAGTCAAAGGTGCACCCATCAATTCAAGTAGAAAGGGAGCCTAAGGACCCGTTGTGCGATCGTCGTGCAATTGAATAGATTGAGACCATTCTTGAGATAGTTGTATACGTGTTCTGCAAAATTCGGCTGTCTCGTGACGTAATAGGCTGACCTAGATCCTTGGAAGGCGGCTGTCTCCTTCACATCCTGTGCAAAATTCTACGGCATCAAACTCGTACGACGGCCTACGACACAAATAATTACTGCGACGCTGAGATCGTCTGAACTGGGGGGGGGGGGTCTCAGTGTTTAAAAACTTAGTTTCCTCGCGATGACACTAACGCCAACGAATTTCCATAATCACGGAGACAAATGTAGTCACAACCTGTCATGGAAGATATTCTAATTCGATAGCAAAGCCGCTGAAGGACCACCGGAAGAATAACTTAAGTAACAAGCCAATTGTGAGATCCAAATGAAGTGAAAGCCATGTCAATGTCTGATTCAAAAAGCTAAAACGTCTCTATACGAATGGATCAAAACAAATCATGGCCATGCGAGATGGACTAGGTAAATCTACTCTGACAAAAACATAACCACGTAACAAAACGGTAATTTTCATAGTTTTCCACACGTTTGTCTTTTCATATAAAACGCCATCGATATTTTAGACAGTGATTAAAAAAAGTTACCTCCTTCTGTCGTCTGCGTTGCCATGGCGACTAGAAGTATCCATGTCCGAAGAAGCGGGAAAATGACGCGCGGAGGACCCATGGTTTTAACGAATCCCCGCCACATCGCTGTCAGAAACACGGTTAGGCCATCACGACTGTATCTCTCAAACGATACTTCGGCACATTCTGACCAGAATGACGTTTTGTCAGAGGCAACGATGCAGTTATTTGGGCGATACCAAATACCACTTCGTAGGGAGGTTTCTACATTCGCAAATTTATCATATGTACATCAAACACTTCTCCCATGCCCGCACTTATGTTACTTTTGCAAACTTCACAAATACTACGTAACCTATATATAGTATAACAGTACCTTGTAGTTAATAAGACACACTGAACGTTTTGTACTGCGTGGTTAGTCTAGAACACCCCTTGGCATACTTTACACTTGGCCCAACCTAACCTTTTTCACAGCTTCTCTCTTCTCTACAATACAGACGATCTTAAAGTATTCATACTACCAATCACCTTCCAAAAGCAGCCATTTGTTGAATTTTAATGACGTTCTTTTCACTGGTTACGCCGGAAATCTTTCCACACAATGACTGCTGTACCCTCTCTGTGACTTTATTTTTTGACGATTACGGATATGAATAGACGTCATTTCGGTGGGCAGCGAATTGAATAAACGTTGTTGGATCAAAGTCATTAATATTATATCAGTTTTGCGTTTTCAGTTCTAACACCAAGCAAATGAAGGATTAGTCTATCGTTTTCATAGTTTCCAGCCCATGGTCTTTACTTCATAACACTGTTCGGACTGAAATGAGACAAAATTCTGCAATTTGTTTTCTTTACATTATTCTCATTAAATTTTCATGGCGAAAACCTACCTTACATGTACCAGTATACTGTGTGGATTGTGTGCCATAATTGGCTCTTTTGATAAACCTGTTCAAGGCTTTACAAGTCTTGAATGCATCAATGTTTTTGTGGTGACGACTGCATTTTCGTCAGAAATGAGGACCGTTAATTTCCGACAATCCAATCATTCCTAAACCCAAGAGACTGGATATGTATTTTCATACTCAGGGTTGTCGCATAACATGGAGGCCACTTGCCGTTGCGGGTTATATAACTATGACTGGAACAGCAAATATGTCAGACTCCGATCTGTTAGAATATTGGCGATTCTACCGGTAGAGATCCCGAATTGAGTCTGTCGACAGAGGCAATAATTTTGATTTTGACGTGGTGACTTGTTGCCATTCAAATTGTTTAAAAACAATTTGAATGGCAACAAGTCACCACGTCAACGTCAGAAAGTACCTTTTTCTATTTTACTTCAAAACATGAATTTCAATAAACACTGTGATATAATGCATTTTCAACATTCACTGATGCCGCTTGGCAATTGACCTGGCTATAGCTACTTAACTCAATACAGAAGCATTTACTCCCAACAACGATGTCGTTCTGTATAGCGCCATCTATCGGAATACAATTGAAGTGAAGCAACTCTAGTTCTGGAAATAACAATACATGTTGGCGTCCCCCTCCTCCAAAAAATGGTAGTAAGATTCGATGAGCTTTAGACAATGGATTTTAGATGGCTATTTATTCCAGGAATTGATAAATTAATTTCTGTCTACAAACCCCGCAAACAAGTGAAGAAATCTATTTACGCTTACAACCTTCTGTACTGAATACAATACTAGTATCCACTGCATAGAATGCTAGTAATACAGTATCCTAACTCCGTCCTATTACACAATGTGTATGTAGAGCGGTACCCTCTACCAGGCTTCAGAAGCAACTAGAAAGAGTAGGAATTGGGCAAATAGACAGATAGACATGCCAGGAGAATCAGTCCGATAAAAGAGTACAGTTGCTGCTCCCGAAGCCTAGTATTTTGCCAATTATATTTCTACTCTTTCCAGTCGCTTCTGAAGCCTTGTAGAGGCTAGTACGAGTGGTACAAAACGATGTGATTTGGTAGCGCCTAACTAGATTTCATTCAGAGAACATGATTGCTTGTGCGTAAAGAAACCACATTAATCAGCAAAGGGGCGGCCGGGTTTCCAAGGAACCGACCTCATCGCCAAAATTACACACCAGCGGTCGGGAACATTTTATTCTCTGCCCTGTCTGGAAGACGATTACTTTTCGTGGCAATCTAGAATTTTCTATAATTTGACTGAAATGTTACACTGAGGTCAAATTCGCCCTACGTTCTTTTACTTATGGGTACAGAAGTATTGTTTAGGGTGGCTGAGTTGGTGGTTTGTGTGTCTGTGAAAATAACGACGATTGGGCAATGGGTGGAGGTGATTTGGACAGTTGATAGATAGGAAGGTCAAGCCTGAAAGTCGTCGGGTGGGAGTAAGTGGACGGTATGTGGCAGAATTCAGGAAGTGGTGTAATACACGATAGAATTACATCATGCAACACCCTCTACAGTGACAGTCAACTTCCAATACATTCACGGAACCTCAAGACGCTTCTCGAAGGTCTGCGAACGTAAAAGTCACGAAAACCCTAAAATACTTTCCGGAAGTCTTCTTTAAATTGCAGAAATCCGAATCAACCACATCATATCTATGCATTCCACTCATAGAACACAGCGACAATTAACTGCCATTGTTTTGTCGATTGTTCATTAATGGCGGCACCACTCTACCTTAATTGGTCAATACTGAAGCGATGTGGCTGAATATATCAAAACAATTCTTTGGGGGAAACCATTATTGAATTTTATCGAGAAAGTGATATCAAGAATTGTGACAAATATAAACAAACTCAATTAGGCATTGCTATAATTTTTTCCTAGTAACTTTGAGCGAATGAAAACATAGGAAATTAGAGATTTCCTGAATTCTCCGATGTCGAACACGTTTACCCCGTTTGAATTCATGACTACCTGTCTTTCTGCCTGTCAATCCTCCGCCACCCTCGTGCTATCAACCTACTCTGTCCGGACGGATACACAGTTCAGCCACCAAAAACAATACTTTTGTACCCTGAAGTAAAATTTTAAATGTTTGCTTTCCACTTTAATAAGACTTTCAAAAATGTGTGACGTTGCTTAAACCACATACTTTCATCATTTTTAGTTGTTAGTTAGCTGTCTAATCACTTAATACATATCTGTAGGTCGCGATGCCTTTAATAACTCAATAAATCATATGAGCTGTATCATTAATCAAGACCAAGTACAGCCATTTAGCGAAATACGCTGGTAAACCTGTTATCGTCACCCCCTCGCAAGCCCCCAATGCCATTCCACTTGTTGGTCAACCCCCATCTACCGGGATGTTGTATTTTTAGAAGCCATGCTAGTATTTTCTATGGCTGGTTTTTACATTGTGACTCTTTCGGCTGTTAATAGTACACAGGTCCTGAGAGGGTTATTTTGAATGCGGCGTCCTAGTTTTTGGACTGCAGTTCCGACGTCTCTGTGTGTAATCTGACCAATTGCGTCAGATTAACGTAAATATCGGATTTGCGTACGAGTTGATCGCCCCGTTTCGTGACGGAAAATCTCCAACAAGTACCGGATGTTTTGAAGATTTACTCACCGTCGTGAGGGATTTAAATCCGAGAGAAAAATCCCATTTATACCTGTTTAAACATAGGGATGATTCGGGTAGAACAGAACATGATAACATCGTTGTCCAGTGAAGAGATGGCAGATGTGACCATGTAGTGACTCACCTCGCAATCTAGGAGAATTCCAACGGACATACTCGTATCACCATGGTCGTAAGTATACACCAATTACTGTAATAACCATGTCAGAAATTTATCCATGTCTTCGGGAAATCATATTAACGTTCAATATCGTACGATCTGGGTACGTGTTGTGATATTTCGTCGTGTAAGTATTTTTGAACTGATACGGTAAGGATATGCGAAACAAACGTTAACAACAGATTTTTCCATATCACATGCAAGTAGGAATTGACATATAGAAGGTTATTACGTTTGTTTTAAAACGATTGGACAATGTTACGACTGTATCTTTTTTTTTTTGTTATACGACGATATAGTACTGCTTTAAACGTGTATACGGCAGTTTTAATACCGGTAAGCCATGCAGTGGTGTACTTATGTATATAAGCTGTGATTACTGTGCATTAATGAGGCACGGAGTGACCAGATGACCTTCAGGAATGATCAGATTAATAGAGAGACACTCGTTAGAGACACAAATGATGATTCACATCGCTATTTAAATTGTTGATTCACTCTTTGAAATTGTAGCCTTAGGCCCATTCCCACTAGGACAAAATTTTCCGTATCGAACCGAATTGATTCGCTTTGATCCGGCTTCGAGCCGGCTTCAAAAATTTTATCCCAGTGGGAACGGGGCCTTAAATGTCCGGTCCCAGTCGTACGTTGATCGTTGTGCTATTCTGATGTAGTAGAATGTTCAAGCAAGCTGTAACAGAACCAACCGCCGACAAGGATCTAAGAAAGCCTTCCTTGTAACAAGACAACTGCATTTTGAAGGACTGTCCCAAGAATATCTTACGTAAATCGTGCGTCGGTCGCACGACGTATGTGACTAGGCCCTACATATCAATATATAATTGTACACTTTCCGTACCTGTTATGAACTGCAACCAGTAATATTTGGCATAAGTTAGTCATGTCTAGACTAGTTTAATTTACGTTTGTTTTGACTTGATTAAGGCATCTGTACTTATATTTGATGTCAATTATCTGCCTCAAATTTGATTATGTGTCGAATTCAAAGCTTGAACGGCAGACAATACGGACCTATCAGTCTGTGTCATCATTCCGCTAAACGCTGAAATTGTCTTGTCTTGCTTATTGTGAGGTGAGGATATAACAAAAGCTAAAAAGCATAGTATATTACAATGTATTAAGGTATTGGGTGTTTCATCCATTACTTAATAGTAATATATAGATGCCATTCGTTGCAACTGTTGTATACAACTGTTGTACTTGTACGATATCTTATTTTGACTACTTTTTCATTTGATACATACATGCGATTCCATTAACTCTACTTTTTCTTCCAAATCATAAAAGAATTATCCAATTAATCAGACATCTTAGTAATGAGATACAAAATAACAGATACTCAAGCAACTGGATGAATTTCAAAATCTATCTAGTTGTTTTAGTAGCTCTCTTTGATACAGGCTTGTCTTCAATTTATATTCAATTTAAACGTTTCTCATCACAAATGACGCATGTCAATATTATCTAATGAAGTATTTTAGCCTAATCCTGCTTTTTCAACGATTCAGTAACCTCTTTGACCCTTCTAAAGCTTTCAAACATTAATGCACACTTAGCCTACACACTAAATCAGTTAATCGGCTATATGGGAGGGATTATAGCCTTGTAATTGGTTTAGTGCTTGCCAGGTTTGGTTGTATGACCGTACATAAAGCTGGTGTCAAGTTTTGAAACGAGTCCAAAATTTATTTCGCTGTGTCTTATCTTACAATAGGTTTCGAATTTGTATGTATGTAATTTTAGCTACCACTGTTAGAGAGTGGACTTATGTTAGGTACACAGTAAGTACAAGTGTGGCTGGTACAAATAGAGTATTTCGCCGATGGCAACGGTACAAACTTGCCTTTTTTATTCCAACAATCCATGACAACGCAGGGTGACGGCACACTCACGTTTTTTCACCTTATTTATTTCATACCGCCACCTACACAGAGGACAAATACAGGACAGGACAATACTCATTTTCACTTGAGTCAAGTGAGGAAAGTCGTGTTAAGTGCCGTCCCCAAGGGCACAAGATCGGTTACATGTCAGGACTCGAACCCGGGACCTCTTGTCTTGGTTCCGAGTCCAGCACTCGCCACACGACCACCTTTTGTTACATGGGAAAAAAATTGAGACTCCTCTAGTGTCAAGCCAGAGTTTTGCCCCCGACAAACATTTACCCTAAACCTAACACGGGCAATGACTCCAACACTAACCCTAACATTAACCCCAAATCTAGCCCTAATCCGACTATAACAATAATCCTAACATTAACCCCACAGCTAGCCTTAACCCAATACCAACAATAATCCTAACAAAAACCCTAAATCTAGCCATAATCCTAACATTAAACCCAAATCTAGCCATAATCCGACATGAACAACTATCCTAACATTAACCCTAGCCCTAGCCCTAACCCCACAAAGGTGCACTTGTTTGGCACGACAGTTTTTCTTTTGGCGCGCACCTGGCCAAGTAGAGCAGAGACCACTTAGGTAATAAGAATGTGTTTGAAATGTTCTTGCATATGCCATATCTATTTATTAAGATTAACCACATTTCTAGAAGGATTGACATAACAGGTCACACTTCAAGATGTCAACCCTGAGACCAGGTTGTAAGGTTCCAGCCACTCACACCGGGAAGGACCCCTGATCTTTTCGACCGAAGTGTAGTGCAACCTCTCTAGGAAGTACTTAATTGTAAGATCAAAAGTTCACATGAGCCGTAATACGTATAGATCTCAACATGCGGCTGAGAACCAAGAGGTTCTGGGTTCGAATCCTGCCAAGTCACCGGTCTTGTGCCCTTAGGAAAAGCACGACTTTCCTCACTTAATGCATGCTTTAAAATACGTTATACGCGTGCTTGGTTTGACAGTACAGTTATCATCATTACAAGCATAGAACTGAACAGTCGCCCGTCCTTCAGCACCAAGGACAGTGTAATCAGGACCGCCTCTAATTTTCTTCTGACCTACTTTGAAGCTTTAATCTTGTCAGCTATTCGGACATTTTATCATCCTTCAACTGTGAGTGATGTCTTCTCTCTACTACTTTATTGCCGGGAGAAAAAAATCAGATATAAAGAGACTTCGATCAAACCCTGAATGACAAGGGCCCGATGACATACGCTGTAGGTCGTCCTACGATGTGATGTGATCGGATTTTCAAGCAGGCTGTGGTGGAACCGCGACCATTGACGATGGTTAAAGACACCTTTTCGATAATAACACAGCTGAATTGTGTTGGGCACCCGCACGACTATGCCAAGAATGCCCTCCGTTCGTGATCTTAGGAGGATCGTGCGACGAAAGTCAAAATGCTTCACATAATAGTAATTTTTCTTTGACTGTCCTAGCTGTATGTTCTAATTTCGTCTCTTTTAAAGCATCAAAGACAAAGCAGTTGTGCTCTATTTTGGGGTTGAGTGTTAGCATTGTGCTTCTTCCGTTGGCTATTTGGTAATTTCCACGTAACTTCAACCAAGAAATTATAGATATGAGAGACTGGCCTACTATTTTTCATCCTCCTTAATGTGTATATGTCACATCAAAGAAATCGAAGATTTAAGACTTCCGGGAGGTATTTTGGGGTTTTGTGACCTATCATTTATCCCATTTCCTGTGTCTGGCCTTTTTACCTTTCTGTAATTCTGCCTGTCAATCTTAAGCATCCCTCACGCACGTGCTGGCAACCTAGTCGTGCTGGCCCGTAAAAATAAACACACATCCCTAAAGCTTAGCGACCCGATATAGAGAAGAAACGCATTTTTTTAGAACCATGCAATTGTACTATATGTACTTTAAGTACATATAGTACAATTGCATGGTTCTAAAAAAATAGTACTGACTTCAGTTCTAATGGTACCTTCTGCGAAAATGATATCCCATTAAAAACGCCGTTCCCAACAAAGGGAGGTCTGCGGCTGGTCTATTTCAGCTATAGCAATTTCTTTGGCTGGAAAATGCTTTTAACCGGACGATTTACACAAATGGACGCTGATTTCCCGTGGGACCCTGATCATGTCCATTCCCCTGCCTGCGAACCAGCCTCCTTCGCAGACTTGTGGGGCGTCGGCGTTAATTTTTTCGGGTTACTACGCGAGTTATACCGCGGAGGGACCGGCTTGCCACAGCCGGCAAACTCCCTCGACGGCAAAACCGTCCCTCCGCGGCATAACTCGCGTCGCTCCCCGATAAAAATCAACGCAGGCCCCCACAAGCCTGCGAAGGAGGCTACCTTTGAACAACACAGAACGACTTTGGGTCACTGAGCTGTCAATCTGTATGCTGGTTGTGTAGACGGTGTAGGTTGACAGCACGTGGTTGGGGGAAGACTGACAGGCAGAGTAACAGGTCTCATAACATGGTAGGGAGCCAGCAGGAATTAAAGGTCGACATGGGGGAATTCAGGAAGCCGAGATTCGCATAATTCTCTGAAATCTCTGCGTGAAATTATCAGATATAATTAGCTAATGGCGACGGAGTGAATAAATGCATTTTCAATTACGCAATTACTGATACTGTAAAGTTGTTCAAATATGGACGAGTTTTCAGATTTTCACGATGGACACTTAACATGCGAAAACACACACACACATATACAGAGACGGACACACACACACACACACACACAAACACACACACACACAAACACACACACACACACACACACACACACACACACACACACACACACACGAACAAACCTAAACTAACTTACCT